GAGAAGCAGCAGTATGGGATATACTTGACGAGTTTTCTGATATTTTTCCCCTTATAGGTTGCCTCCATTACGAGGTGTGGAGCATGGGATTACATTAGAGCTGGGGACATGGCCAATTTACTAACATCCATTTCAGTTAAGTTATGTGGAGGAGCAAGAAGTTCAACGACAAGTCAAGGAGTTACTTGAGTTTAAATTTATTCAGCCAAGTAAGTCTCCATTTGGTGCTCCGGTCTTGCTTGTGAAAAAGGACAGTTTAATGTGGATGTGTATTGACTACCATGCCTTAAGCAAGAAAATAATGAAGGATAAGATGCCAATGCCACGTATGGATGATATCCTAGACAAGCTTGGTGAAGCACAAGTGTTTACCAAGATTGAGTTGAGGAATGAATATAATCAGATTGCAATGGATGATGCATCTATCTTTTGTGAGACACAAAATCCCTAGGCCCCAAAGTGGAGCCGAAAGGGTGCCACGTGGTAGTGGCCGAAGCGAAAGTCAAATGAGCATAACACGTTTGGACTAAAAGTTCCGACTTGAAAGGTTGAGAGCGGGAGTGGAACTCCCAACGGAGTGCTCAAGGAACGAGCATGAAGCGAGCCATAAGAGAGTCTCTAGAAAAGGGACCCGAGATGGAGTCCGAGATGGACCCGAGATGGAGTCCGAGATGGACTCGAGATGGAGTTCGAGATGGAGTCTGAGATGGACCCGAGATGGAGTCCAAGATGGAGTCCAAGATGGAGTCCGAAATCGAGATCAAGACCGAGACCGAGACCGAGACCGAGACCGGGACAGAGACCGAGACTAAGGCCAAGGCCGAGACCGAGCCCAAGCCCGAGTCCAAGTCCGAGTCCGAGTTTGAGTCCAAGTCCGAGTTTGAGTTTGAGTCTGAGAGGGTGAAAACCCAAAGCATTTGTCTCCCAAACCCTAGGGGGTTTGGTGAGCTCCAAAAGTATAGTAGAGGGAGAACTCCAGTAAAGCCAGTTTAGCTAGGAAAGGCTAGTTTGTCCTAGGAAGGCTGTACCCAGGTGTTGGGTGATGGGATAACCACTGAGAAGTCCAAAATTAGAGTGAATACGGACCGACAAGCGGGGTAGCTTAGTGAAGTGTTCAAGAGCCGGCTCTAGTTCCCCCGGGAAATCGAATGGTCAATGCTCCCAATCCAAGTGTGGGTGGCACTACCTACTTGGATACCTGGCATGGCTCAACGGAACCTTGCTCTAAGCCCATGGCTAGAGCACCCAAAGGTGGAAAGCGGGGAGAGTACCCATGAGGCTCGCGTAAGGCCATGGTGTTCCGAAATGTTGTCCTAAAGTCCTAGACTGTAGAATGGAAAAGGAGCAATCCTCTAATTTGGTGACCAATGATGCGGTCATGTGGTGAGAAAGTCCGAGAGGATAGTGGGACTTAGTGGTCTGGCCTGTGGGCTTTGTCTCAGTGGCAATGTAGGCAAACTCAGCCATGGATAGAAAAGAGACTTAATGGGGACTATAAAAGGGATATTGGGGAAGGCAATTCCCCATGTCTGTGGGCATCTTAAAGATGCTAAGGAGTGGACCTTGGATGGTCACTCCTGGATGGATGGCCTAGTCTTTGAGAGTCAAGACTGTGATGTAGGTGGTGTTAGACCACCGGTGTGACCAAGGTGAATGGGCATGGCCTTACCGTAACAGGCTAATATGTGGTGGTACCTTGGAGTGTTAATCTTGGGACCAAACACGTGAAGCACTTGGACCAAGTGCAATGGTTGAGTGACACAGATGCCATTCTTGGGGCTACCAAGTCCCCAAGTCCGAAATAGGACTTATAGAGGTTGTGAGTGAGACTCCTCCAAGTGGTTAGAGGTGTGGTTAAGTGACTAAAGTAGAATGGAAATTTTAGTCACTTACATCTCCAAGACAGCATTCAACACAAGCTTTGGGCATTTTGAATTTACAGTTATGCCATTTGGTTTGACAACCACATTCACTCGGTTGATGACGAAGGTATTTAGGCGTTATCTTCATGAGTTTATGGAGATTTTCTTGGACAATATTTTTGTTTTCAGCAAGAATATAGAGGAGCATAAAATGCATTTGCATAAAGTTCTTTTGTTACTCCAAGACAGCAAACTTTATTCAAAGAAGAGCAAATGTGAATTTGCAAAGTTGGAGATAGAATATCTAAGCCATATTATAACATCTAAGGGTGTCAAGATGGATCCAAGAAAGGTGGTTATGGTGGAAAATTGACCTACACCAATTATAGTAGCCGAGTTGTGTAGTTTTCTTGGTATGGCTAGTTACTACTGACGGAGGTGGTTATTCCTTTGACACGGTTGTTACGCAAGAATGTGCCATTCAAGTGGAAGAAGCCACAAGAGGAGAGTTTTGTGGTGCTTAAACGATTGTTGAGTGAGATTCTAGTGCTTTGCATTGCTGATCCATCGAAACCTTACAAGGTGACATACGATGCGAGTGGTTATGCACTGGGAGGAGTTCTCATGCAAGAGGGACAGCCTATTGCATATAAGAGTCAAACTTTGAATTCCATTGAACAACACTATTCCACATATAAGCAAGAGTTACTTTTTATTGTTCATGCTTTACGGACGTGGTAGCACTATCTTTATGGTGCAGTGTTCGTGGTGTTGACAGATCATAAACCACTTGTGTATCTTTTCACATAGAAGGAGTTGAACACTAAGCAAGCTCGTTGAATGGTCGAACTCATAGAGTTTGGGGAGTTTCCTATTGAGCATCGTCTGGGAAAATTAAATGTGGTGGCAAATGCTTTATCTCGTGTTCATCATGTGACAATGTTACAAACACAATTTTGTCATCATTTGAGTAAGGTGGTCAGCGAGTTTGAGCAGTTGGTTGAGCGTGCTCAGGCTCAGGATGCTGAGGTGGCCTCTTTGCGAGACCAAATGGAAGCCCCTTTCTCATTGGTGGATAGGATTCTCTACTACAATGGCCATGTATATTTGCCACGGGTGGATGCGTTAATTACTCAAGTTTTATTCCACTATCATGATTGTTCAGAGGCCGGTCATTTTGGGGGGAAGAAGACATATGAGTTGATTAAGCGCAATTTTTATTGGAAAAATATAAAGGCTAATATCCTCAAGTATTGTAAATCATATGAGCTCTGTCAACAGGTTAAGGTGCTACGGGAGAAGCCAAGGGGACTTTTGCAACCTTTACCTATTCCTCGGTTGACGAAGTATGTGTGGTTGTTGGCTTTTCGGAAGACTATCATTGCCTTAGACTTGGCTGCAATTTACTTGGAGAAGGTTTTTCTTGATTTTGGTTTGCCAAAGGACATCATTAATGATCAAGATTCAAAGTTCACCAGTGGATTTTGGAAGAGCTTTGCAAAGGCTATACAAGTGACTTTGAACTCTTGAGTGGAGATCATCCTTAGACGGATGGGCAAACCGATCGTGTGAATTAGATGGTGGAGGATATGCTACATTGTAGCAATGGTTAAAGGCAAAGATAGTGGGATCTATATCTTCTATTAGTGCAATTTGCTTACAACAATAGCCAACACAGTGGAACCAAGCTAAGTCCTTACTTTGTCATATTTGGAAGGCATTCCCAAATAGTGGTGGAGTTGAGATTGCATTTGAGTAAAGATGTTCAAGATAAACTTGATTCTAAGGCAACTGATCTAGCCACAGAACTTGATGAGATTTTGGTGGTGTGCAAACGGAATTTGCAAGCAACTTAGGATAAAGTAGAGAAGTTTACTAATGAGCATTGCCAATTCCGGGAATATAAGGTGGGTGATCTCATATTTGTGCGAATAATCTTTTTGTCAAGTGAGCAGTAGAACACCTTGGTGCCTTTACGGACAAGGAAGAGTGATGAACTTTCCCATCGATATGCTGGTTCATATAAAGTGCTAGAGCACATTGGTAAAGCAGCTTATAGGATGCACTTGCTAACTAGGGTGAAAATTCATTTAATATTTTATGTCAGCCAATTGAAAGATGTACTATCTCAAAGTGACAAGCCCAATGCTTCCTTGATGTATATGGCTATAGAAGGACCAGGAGCATGAGCAGGGTTCCCTAGAAAAGATAATCACCGATACAACTAGTCCTTAGAACAAGGACTTTTTTAGGGAGAAAAATTGTTAGGCACCAACTTTGACCACATGGTCAACATCAAGCTCAAGGGTATATTAAGGCATGTTAGAGTAATGGATTTAACCTACCCTAGGGTTTACAATGGAGTGGCAGTAACTTAGGGGTGGTTACAACACAAGCACCCGCGACCGCCACAATCACAACATCCATGGAAGCTAGAGCAACAAAATCTCTATCTTTTTTATCCATCATTTTTATCTTTTTTTTGGGTTGTTTTGGTATGATCAAAGAGATGAATGAATTTATCCCCAAGACCTAACCCGATGACAAAGAGTGCTTTTCAATTCTTGGAGTCCCAGTTGAGCCGTTGGGTTACATCTGCAGCAGCCGGACGTTGAGTCATTCCATCCACTATAAGCCAGCAATCCTTGGCCAGCTGTACTTTTGTTTTCCAAGTCGAGAAATTCTGTCCCATGAACTTTTGGAGAAGTTTCTCCCACAGCCCCCAGAGTCCCAAGAATTTCCTGCTGCGTTAGTAGAAGACATTCTACTATTAATCTAAGAATAGATTAAAAGGGAATTTAGAAAGGACGGAATCGTGAAAAACTCGGCCGCAACAAGGGCACGGATCTTCCACTCCACCCGCGCCAGCACTGCCAAAGCCCTCGCGCGCTCTTGAGCCAAGGGTTCCTGGCCCCTTTGATTCTTCCTCTGCCACTGTCCTCTTGCCATTAGATCGTTCGCCGCTCCGATACCATGTTGTATTATGAAATGTTGTGTTATTATTATGACGGTTGATACATGGTTAAATGTATGGGTTTACCGTGACGATCCGTGGCGGTGTCTGGATCGCTCACGTGGCGTGTGCGGACGGTTTTGTTCACTCCCACACGTGATTCAACCCTTTTGCGAATTCAAGAGATAGCCAAGAGAATGGGAGCTCTGTGGGGAGTCGATCTGAAGTCCACCTCTGTTATCGTCCCGGCATCTCCAACACCAATTCAGGAACGACGTTTTCTTTCGAATTTAGATCAAGTGTTTACAGGCCAGTGGTACATGAACACGGTGTGGTACTTCAAGCCAGCTTCGGGTCATTTGATTCAAGACCAGGATGCTTTTTTCAAAGGATTGAAGGACTCATTGTCGAGGTTATTGATTTACTATCCAGCTCTCGCGGGGAGGCTGGTGAAGAACGAGAATAACAGGTTCGAAGTCGAGCTGAATGACAAGGGAGTTATTTTTCGCGAGGCAGTTACCGAGGCAAGATTCGATGACTGGGAAGACATCAAGGATTGCACAATAGAAGCCAAGCTGACATTTGAAGATACAATCATAGCGGACTACAACACCGCTCCACTCATACGAACTCAGGTAAATTAACAGACTCAAAGCTTCTTGTAAAGCTCGCTGATTTTCTTTCCAGGCTACCCTCTTCAAGTGCGGAGGGATCGCTCTGGGATTTAGTATGGCCCATGCAATTCACGATGGCTGGGCTGCGATGGAGTTTGTGAAATCATGGTCGGAACTTCATATGCATCTTCCAGTGTCAACTCCGCCAGTGTTTGCAAATCACCTGATGAAAGCCAGAGATCCACCAGCGGTGAGTGTTCCCATTAAGGACTACATTTCAGTTCCAAAGGTTGAAGGGTCTCTCAGCAGCAACTATCAGATCTTTGAGGAAGGAGCTCCATTGCCATTCCAAGCTATCACCTTCAGGTTCACAGCTCAACAGGTGGACGAAATCATCCAGGAGGTCAGAACCGGTCCTTGGAAAGTCGAAGCCTCCAGCTTCGTTGCAATGGCGGCATTCACCTGGAAGGTGATGACCGAAGCCAGAGAGCTCCCGGACGACACCACAACTCGGTATGTCTACCCGATAAGCTGCAGACAGCGCTGGCAACCACCTCTTCCTCGCGGCTTCTTTGGAAACACGGCTCATCTTTCGTCATTAGCAGCGAAAGCCGGGGACATCAAGAACAAGCACGTCTCCTACGCTGCAAAACTCATCTACGACGACCTCTTAGCCACAACGACGGAGTATCTCAAGTCGGTGATAGACTGGATGGAGATTGAGCTTCAGAAGAACGACAGAGACATCGGTTTTGCCTGCGACTTCTACTCTGGAGCCGACGTGCAGAGCACGAGTATGGTCAACTTCCCGATCTTCCATGTGGACTTTGGATGGGGAAGGCCTATTCACAACTCCTTCACGTTCCAACCACTCTTGGGAGACGGCCACGCCTACTTGTTCCCAGCTCCAGAAGGTGGAAGAAACCGACTTGTTCCCATCTACATGAAGAGACTTGCGATGAAGAACTTGTTCCGAAACGAGCTCTTTCGAAGGTTCCAGCCCGATCTTAAAGACTATAGCTACTACAACGATTGAGAACAACAGACTAAGAGGTACGTATTTGGATTGGACACTGACGATGTGCCACGTTTATAACTTTGTACATGGGGTGGTCGAAGCTGGGAGGAGCTTGGAGAGCTAGGTGGAAGTGATGCGACAAAAAATGGGAATAGCTTGGACTTTCTCGTGTGTTCTTCGCTCCCTGGAATTGCATCAACTGGGTCCTTGTTTGGGTACTCACAAGCTTAGGTCGCAGGGATTAAAATATCTGGCAGGCTGGTGGTGTGATGACCACCATCTTTGTGCAGGAGGTCTTTACGAGCAGCCTGGACATTTTTCTGGCGCCAACAATCAAGATCTGAACCGCCCAACTCACTAGCTCCACCATCGGCAAGGTCACTCCAATCTCCATTCAGATTCTCTTACCAAGAGGCCATTCAAGTTCCGCTGTGGGCGGGCCCACATGTTTACTTTTGATAGAGCCTTAAACAAATGCTGTATTGCATCTCAGCTGATAGTACAAACAAGAAGCTTTCCTTCTGCCATGAGGGCATAGGACCATCCTATCTCTAAGTCTTCGTTTACGGTGTGGCTCCAAGCATAGCAAGGAGCTCATCACAAAGGCATGAAGTCCAGTAGTGAGTGGCCTGCTGCTAATGCAATAATATGTTACATCCCTCCAATCTTGGCATGTTTTTGGTTCGTAACATATTATATATTTTTGGTTTGCTTAAGCATATTTGAATATTCTGGGATATTCTACTATCTAGTGGTTGTTGTTCATTTAGATTAATTTTTTATTTATAATTTATAATTTATTCTAATTTTTTAAATATATTCTAGTTTATTCTACCATATAATTTTAGTTATAAACTTTTAATTGATCAATTGGATTAATAAATAATAAGCACTACAACCAAGCAGTGCTATATGCAATGCATAGCAAATTATTATTCTGATTGATTTTCATGATACTTTTAATTAGTATGATATTCTCATGCATTAAAATTTGAAGGATAGGCATTTCATTTGCATCAATTGCATTGTGGTCTCATACTTCCAATTAGGCACTGCATGACCCTCAAAAACATTTATTATTAACTGCATAAATACAACAATCACTTGACAAATGCACAATGAGCCATGGAGGAACCCTTTGGAATTTATAATCCAAATTAATATTATGGTTAATTATATTTCTCAAAGTTATTTATGACTCCACATAAAAACAATTTTGTTTGACACAAAAGTTCTTCATGCGTCTTTCACTTATGCAGTATATATAGTGTAGTTAGATGATCCACTGCAACAATATTGTTGGTATTTATAAATTTCTGTAGATTTCCTGATACTAAGAATCCAAAAATTGATTAAAAAACCTATGCTCACTTCGAGTTTGTATATTGATAAATAAAATGTACAAATATTCTTATTATCATATATTACATATTCCTTTTTTAATTATACCTTATGACATACAAAAACAATATCAATTAAACATATATTCACATTCTTTATATTGTTTTGTATTATAATAATATTTTTTGAGGACTCCTTTTAAGGGTTTTTCGTTAGTATTGTCATCTTTATTATTGGATACACTGAGCACGAGCACGGTCAACTTCCTCCAGGTGGACTCCGGAGGAGCTGGGAACAAGTAGGCGTTGGCCGTCTCCCAAACGTGAGGCTGGAAGAAGCCGACTTGTCCCTGAGACTTGCGATGAAGAACTTATTCCAAAACGAGCTCCAAGCCGGACCTTAAAAGACTATAGCTACAATTGAGAACAGGTCATTTCTTGTATGAGAAGTATGTATGATTGGATTTGGACACTGACAATGTGCCGCGTTTGATTTCATATGAATGTTTTCTTACAATTTCCAGGAGTAATCCAAGGCACTGGTATCAGTGCCGTGTTATTCCGTCAGCTCAGCTCTCAAAAACATAAAGAAGAAGAGACAAACCTTTCCGAGATCGTTCGATCATCCGTAGCGAACGGATTTTCTGTGGTGGTCAGCTGGAAGGTGGTGCTGCTGGTGGGGGCTGCTTGGCGGATCTGAGCTCCAGGGGACCACCAAGCTCAGCTTTGAGATCAAACATCCTCTTTAGAGCGTGCATGTTTTCCAGTGTCTCGTTCACCGTCCTGGCCTCACTGCCATCGCTTCTCAAGTTTTGCATGGGCCCGTGGAGCAGCTTGTTGACGATTCCCCCGCTGAGGTCCTCGATGAGCTTCCTGTTCTTCTTGGACAACTCGTCGCCTCCCATCTTCGCCAGGCACTTCTCCAGCTTGCTGGTCCGGATCCTCTCCGCGTAAGCTCCCTCCACGCCTCGAAGCTCCGGAGCTCCTCCTCGATAATGGTCTGGGCCTTCATGGCCTTCCTCCTCCTCTCTTCCTGGTTGGCGGTCACCACCTCTTTCAAGTCGTCCACATTGTAGAGCCTGACTCCGGGGACCTCAGCAACACAGGCTGCAACGTTCGAGGGACCGAGATATCGATGAAGAACCTGGTTCCCAAAGGAGCAGCCGGGATCTTCTCAGCGTCACCTTTGTAGAAGAGTGGCTGGTCTGACGCTGTGCTCGTGAAGACAACGTCGGCCTCCCCGGCACATCTCATCATCTCGTCCAGAGACTGGTATTCGACCGTGGAGTCTGGAAACTCGGCCTGGAGCTCGCTCACGTGCTGCTGCGTCCTGTCGACCACCACCATCTTGGTGCAGCCTTTGGAGATGAGGTGCTTGACGAGCAGCTTGGACATCTTCCCGGCACCGACGATCACGACTTGAGCCGCGGAGAGCCCTCCATAGCTCGCAACTTTCATCGCTGTTAGCTCCACCACCGCAGAGCTCACCGACACCGCCCTGGCCGCAATGCTCGTCTCCGTCCGGACTCTCTTGCCAGCCGTGATCACCTGCTTGAAGAGCCCATTCAAGTTCCTGCCGAATCCGTTGGCACCCTGCCCGACCTTGAACACCTGCTTGACTTGCGCGAGAATCTGCCCCTCGCCCAGCACACACCTTGAACAAATGCTGTGTCGCGTCTCGGTCGCGTAGTATGAACAAATGCTGCCGGTGTTCTTCCAGAGGAACTCCACTAGTCTACCAATACAAAAGGAAGTTTTTAAGACTCTAGCACCAAGAACTTGAGAGCTCACCTCCTTAACACCACGAGAGAGCCACCACGTAAATCTCCATGCGATTACACGTACTTAGAACCGCCGCCTCCTCTATATGGTTGTGAGCAACGAGCTTGCCGATTGCGCGTGGCCATTCCGCCTCTGGAACGGCCAACTTCTAACGTAGCTCCACCAAAGCTGTGTGGACGCTCAATCCTCTTCTCGCTAGTATATCCTGCCAAGAACACAATCCAATCCAATCTTATCAGCTCAATCCAATCGACCCATGGAAGAACGAGAAAAAAAAAAGGAAAGCTAAACTTACTGTCGGTGCCGGCATTTCGGAGCTGTTCTAGAGCTGCCAAGCTCGCAGCCTTGGCCCTGTGACTGGGAGGAAGACGAGCGTCTCCTCCTCCTCCACCAATGGAGCAAGCTCTCACGAGCACAGCCTTCCTGGGAAATCTACCAAAATCTCGATGGATGCAGTCAATCCTTGCGACCTACACAATTCTGGAGCTGCTGGAGCTGCTGCAAACCTCCGTTATCAAGCCAATAAGAGCACAGGCCAATTGCACCTGTGGCAGCCATTGGTGACAGGATCTTCGGCATGGAGATGTTTAAGATCTTCGGGCAAGTGCTGGATTTCGTGACAGTGTGCCAGTTTGGAAGAGTTCTAGATGTGGTGACCAGGTATCTTTCTCTCTTTTTCTTTTTATCCGTTTTGGCAATGAATGCAAGGGCATTTTGCGCTCCTCCAGGTCGGTAGCTGCATTGTTCGAGCAAGAGGGCTGTAGAAAGATCAGGGATCAAGCAGCCAAAGAAAAGGTTATACTTCTCAAGATCGTCTCCTAGGATCGCCAGGAGCTTTTCAGGAAGCAATGCGGAGAGCCCATCATCAAGAAATCCTTTGAGAAGAGGGAACTTTTGCTAGGAAACCATTTGAACTGGAGAACACACACAGCTGCGGTTATGATTTTTCTTGCAACTCCTGCACTTGCAGCCAATGCTCTCAAGACATGCTCCTGTCTTCTGAAAGAATGCTAGTAATTTTATTCTCTTTTTGTCCTTCAAGAAAGATGAGGTTTTTTTTTTCCTCTAGATTGGAGCTCATTGCAGATCCTTCATGCTTGCAAACTTGTAACAATTGACTTGATGAGACCAAGTGCTAGGTAAGTCTCGAAATTTTATGTAAAACTTCTTTTGGATTGATCAATCATTGCGATTCAAGAATACTTTCAAGTCAAATGTGAAGACATTTTTTAACAACGTGGTGGATGAATTCAACAATTGCATAATGAGCTGCAAAAGCTGCATCCCACAAAAGAAAGATGAGGGGTATTTCCCAATCCTGTGCGGTGCAAGCAAGCAAGTTGGGATCACATGTCCAAGCAGAGAATGGGGTGCTGATGGAGGGAGTGTTGATGTTTGCTGTGTTGGGAGGCAGCCAAACTACATGGGGCAAGAGAGGAAGGCATTGTGACAAGTGTTGCATGTAAAGTGTTAACCATGATTGCACTTATCATCTATCTTGTTGCGAAAAAAAGCAATTTCAAGTTTTGCATATGCCCAATGACATGACAAAAATTAAGTAGGGCTTTGGGCCAACAACTGTGATTAACCCAAAGTTAATCAATTGCTTCATTCAAGATTTGTCTCTTCAATGGCAGTGGCAGCAAGCGATCCTAATGTAGGGTCTCAAGACCATATAGACTACAATTACCAGTCATCACTAGATGATGTCTTGCAGTAGCAGCAACAAGTTCTAGGTGATGTAAACATGGGTGGAGAGAGCAATGAACCAGGTTTGTGTTTATTTTGATAAGGTAGAATCTAATCACTTTCTTTTCTAGGATTTGAGCATTTCTTGAAGTAATGGGTTTGTAACGGGATTTTTTAGATAAGCGCAAATTATATAGCATCCTAGATCCTAGTGTTTGGAATATAATTGCTTCCTCTGAGGAAACAAAATATGCATGTATTTATATTGTAGATTTACAGTTTCATTCGGGTGGTGAGCCACTTCTTATCTATGTATTATCTCAGTACGGTAGGTATGATTTCCAATATGAGGTCCACTCAACAAATATAACATTAACATCGAGGTTTTTTAATATCAATTTCACTGACAACTACAATATACACCATGTAACAGCTTCGATGGCAGCCAATGCTACTGATAAATACAGCCACCTTTTTAAGCCATCTATTGGCTGTGTATTCAACACTACAAGGTTAGAGCTAAGAATCTGAAATATCATTTGGGACTCCATTGTCTCTCAGTAGATAATTTTTATGGCCACACATATTCAAGCATGGCTAGAGAAGGCTCCTCCAGTGTTTAGCTTTGTTAAGTTATCAAACATTGTTCCACTAAGTTAGTTTGTAAAGGATATTTTGCTTATACTTCTGCAATAGTTGTTGTGGCAATCATTAGTGTGGATCAAATGCCTAACACTACATACATCATATTCATTGTTGATGATCTTGAAGCTAAAAACACTTATAAGATATTTATAATATTCTAACTGGATTTTTTGGGTAAACTTCAAAAGCAAGTGCATGTGCTAGGTGATATGGACCATGTCTATCATGAGCTCAAATTGTCATGGTTTGATAGGGATATGCTATGTCATATTTTCTACCATCTCCAAAGAACTAAAGATAAAAATGTGTTAAAGATTGCACCCTCAATTATTGTTTTGAAAATTCCTCACAATACGTCTTGGGACCATATACAAAAGCAACTACACTCTATCTCATCCATATATGGAAACAACTTCTTTAGGATATGTCTTTCTTGATGTTTACCAGTTGTTCATAATACATGTTTTGTCAATAGATGCATGTCCACTTCATCCTTGAAAACCTTCAAGCAATCTCTATTTCAGTTTAATGATGAATAACAAATTATATTTAATGATATCCTTAGCATAATTAACAACCCAATCGAGCAAAATTGATATATTTTCATCGATGGTCCTAGTGGTACTAGTAAAATTTTTCTCACACTCTTATATATATATATATATATATATATATATATATATATATATATATATATTTCAACTTTTAAACAAAAATGTAATTAGTATGGTCTGGATAGATATTACAAGCATTTTATTGCATAATGGTCAGCTTTTGCTATTATAGATAATAGTGAAGCAAGCCAAAAAATTAAAAATGCAGATGTATTAATATGGGATGAAATTAGTATAGTTCACACACATGCATTTTTTGCCATTAATTTAGCATTACAAAAATGAATTACCTTTTGGAGGAATTGTTATTATTACAAGTGGTGACTTTAGATAAACACTATTGATTATTCCACACTATTGATTATTTGATTATTTCAAATTCAGTAAAAATAAATAGGTTATAGAAATTTTTTATAACACTTTTACTAAAAAGGAATATGAGACTAATTGAAAACAACTCTTTATTGGCTGATTGGCTTCTTTGGATTGAAAATGGTAATAATTATATAAATTTACCCAATTTGCCTTCAAAATCTATTATATTACCTTACACATAGATAATAATGTCCTCTATTGTTATTTCAAACCCCTATGTTGCATTTAATAAAGTTATACTTACCCCACTTAATGATGATATTTTTCCCATTAATAATGTTATATTCTCTTCCTTACCTAGTGACATACATATTTATGAAAGTGTTGACTTTGTTGATATTGAACACGTAGAAGATTTTTCAATTGAATTCCTAAATTCCTTTCTAGTCTTCCACCACATAAACTCTTACTTAAAGAAGGTATTATCCTTATTTTATTAAGGAATATATGTCCATCAACTAGACTATGTAATGGTACACACCTCATACTTAAACATTCCTTACCAACAATTCTAGATTGTGAAATTATATTAGGCCAATTCAAAGGTACATAAGCTTTTATCCCTTGAATCACTTTAGAAATTCCATTTAAAATGTCTAGAAGACAATTTCTAATGCATTTAGGGTATTGCTTTACAATCTCTAAATGTCAAGGCCAAACATTTGACCAAGTTGGAATATATTTGCCACATCCAGTTTTCAGCTATAACCAACTTTATATGGCTTTTATCAAGATGCAAATCACTAGCAGAACTAGGCATTAAAGTAAAAAACACATCATTCCAAAAGATAGTTATTCCCTTAAGTCCTTCTACTTTCACCATCAACACAATATATAAGGAGGTTTTATATTAAATCCTCCATGCATTGTTTGTAGCACTGAAACAAATTCTTAATATAAGTTTAATGAATAAATAAAAAAAGCCTTGAAAAGTTTGTATTATAACTACAACATTCAAAACAGTATTTACTAATAGGACAGCATATGCTGGGCTAAGTGCTAGTTATCCATCTATTTATCTATAAATACAAATGTATATAAAAATAATATTAAATTTAATAATAATTTACTGCGCATTGCATGCAGCAATGCTTGGGTTGCTTAATAGTAACATCATTTTTATCTAGTATTTTAGAAATCTAATTGATCAATAATTGTAAACATGTTTATAATTTATAAATCAAGATTAAGCTTATTGCATATCAACCATTAGAATAAATAAGAATATACTAGAAAGTGTTTAGGATAGTTTATAAATTATAACTAACAGATATAGCATGATAAATTATTCAAGCATATTCTAGGTTTTGCTTAAGCAAACCAAAAAATAAATTTTATAATGTTCACATTTTCTTTAGTTCTTTTTCTCTTTGGATTAAGAAGTAAATTAATTATTCTTCATTTGATGAAGTTGACACTAATGAATAAAAAATCTATCACCAAGCAATCCACTATTTTTATATACAAGATCAATAGCTATGCTGTGTCTAACAGGAGCAAATACCCATCCTATAACCAAAACAACAAAAACCAGTAAGAAGAGAAACAAAGTTCTCAGGATTCAAACAACTCACATATCAGCAGCGCTAAGCGCAATTTGATCTCCAGATCCTGCAAATCAAGAGGGAAAACTCAATGTCTCGAAAGAAAACAAAAAATCAATGTAAGAGGTGATGTCAACATATTGCAGAAGAGAGAGAGACAGAGAGCACACCCCATGGGCTGAATCGTGGCGTGGCGAGAGAGGAACAAACCTACCTGGGGAAGAGGAAACGGTAATTTCAGCCTTGCGCTTGGTAACCAGCGTGATCTTCTTGGTAACCGGCCGATCTTGCCTCCCATTACCAGACGCCTCCACTCTGATCCTCCTCAGCGGATCATCTGGCGGATGATCAAACATCACACATTGCGAACCAAGAACAAGAAAAACAAAATCCCCAAAACTTCACGCTCGCGCGTCCGCCCAAAGCCCTACCATTGACGAAGACGCCATCGGTGTCGAGCTCCATCACCGCCCTGTGCCGATCTGCAGCGTTGCTGCTACTCCTCGCACATCCATCGTCCTCCCAAATGCGCCTCCAACTCCCCATCTCTCTCTCTCTCTCTCTCTCTTCTATTTCTTCCCTCTTCTTCGCGAATCGAAATGTTACGACGCTGTTTTATCGCCCAGTTAGGTCACAATCATCGAACGACACGTAAGCGCTGTAAGCTTTGGACACCTGGCGCGATCTCGTTTGATTTTCTCCTTTTTAAATTTTCTAGGGTTCTTTACGAACTCCATGGACAATATCTTCCAGCCGCATTCTCAGGCCTTCAAACAGCGGCATCATCGTCAGGGGCGTGGCCGACGATTTCGATCAGAATGCGATGAAGACCAAGGCTCCAGGCAAGGCGAGGGAAGATGGAGAGGCCACAAAGGCGGGCAAGGAGAAGGAGGACAAGGAGGAGGTGAGTGAATTGGATCTACTGGATTTGCAATTCGCGAAAATCGAGACTACAACAAGAACAACAATAGCAAGCCGGAGTCCCTGGAGCCAATCGTCCAGGAGATCCCGCTCCTACCGCCCTTTGGATCTGACGAGGAGCTCATGGAGTACGTGACAGCGGTCATGAAAGAAACGCCGTGGCGGCAGCTCTACACCAAGCTCGCAGTTCTAGTCAAGGCTCACCACGTCCCAGAGATCATCAAACGAGCCAGGGATTCGCCAGTGGTGTTTAGTTTCTTCATGTGGGTGAGAGCCAGGTGACACATCCGTCTGGATTCCTCCATGTTTTACGCTGCTCTTCGAGGTTCTAAGCTCCACCGACAAGCCGGAGGAGATGCTCGACCAGATGCCAAAGTGGATTCCCCATTGTTGTGACGGTGATGCATGCTTACAGGAGGCTGGACAGGGCCGGGGACGCTCTCAAGCTCTTCTTGAAGATGGAGGAGCTCGGGGTGAAGTATCCGAAGACCTTGACTTTCAACTGTATGTGCGACTTACAGTTTGATATGGTACACAAGAGGATGACGATGATGAGGAAGATGAACGCTCTCATGTACGAGATTCTCATCGCCAAGATCTGCCGGGCGAGCAGGCTTGCTCGCTCTTCCGGGAGATGATCAAATCCGGCTATGCTTCTCCCGCGGACTGTCTGCCGGTGGTGGAGAGCAGCTACAAGAAGTGCAAGATCGAGATGGTGTGGAGCTTCATCAAGGAGCTTCCCAAGCTTCCGGACTGCGATTTCGACGAGAAGATCATATACTCTCTCGTCAAGAGACTTATGATCTGGCTAGGAAGCTGTTTCAATTGGTGATGAGCACGGGGAAGAAGTTGCCAGCGGATACTTACAACCTTTTCATCCTCAAGCTGCGCACGACTGACGGCAGCGAGCAGACCTTTGATCTCATGAAGCAGAACGGATGGCGTTCCAGACACGCGCAGCTCGCTGGTGCGAGCGGGATCGATCGGCGAGGCCTATCAGCTCTCTGTGGAGATGATGGACAAAGGCTACCAGGCTATCACTTACATAATCGTGCAGATCCTCAACAGGGACGGGAAGATGAACGCGAGCACCGTCACGGAAGCCATGACGAAGCTCAAGGAGAAGGGAAAGTTTGAGGGAGCAGGGACGTGCCTCGACAAGCTTTCGTAGCAAAAACTTTTGCCGTCTGGGAAAGGCAAGGGATCGAAGGGAAGGTTCTGGTGAAAGTCTTCCAAAAGGATGGATGGAGGCTGGAAGATCTCTACATGTTTCGTTCTACTCGCAAAAGCTTGAGTTTTTCGTTTCACTGCGCTCTCGATTTGATAGTTCTGTTTTGTTTTGTGCAGTAGCTTTGAGAGAACTTTTCACTGCTGTGAGTGATCTGAAGCATTGATTTGTGGAGAGAGAAGTTTGGAGAGCGGTGTGTGGAATATCTCCCACACGACGACAATAATGCAGGTATGGGATAATATTCTCTCGAAAGTGCGGCTGCCTCCACTGTCGCTGGCGGCTGCGCAAAGCGGCCACGCTATATATAAAGTCGTGGAGCCAGGTGATAACTCGCCACTCTCATTTTCAGAGCTCTCAGTGCTATTTGATTCCTTCCAGCTTGACATCTTTCTTGCAGACCGCTTTCAATCGATCGTCTCTGTTCCCCAGCCTCGAGAAAAGTCCACTTTGCTGTTCCAGTGCTTCTCTAGCTCGTCCGTCTTTGAAAGATCAAGCTTTGGCCGATCTGGTTGATCCGAGATGGGATTTCTGGCAAGGTTGTGGGACGATGTTGTTTCTGGGCATGATCCTGGGATGAATCTGCGGGATCCAAAGCTTGAAGGATCATCGCAAGGAGCTCCTTTCGCCCAACGAGAGAAAGACAAGTCAGGGAATACGAGTGATCGAGAACGAAGAACCGGAGATCCTAGCATTACAAGACAATTATCTCCCAGTGTCTCGGATTGGCTCGTTCTCAGCATTCTAGACAGATAAAAACAAGAAAGCTTCTCAAAGTTTGCTCTTTGCAAAGAAAGATCTTTGTCTTGTGAAAGTCCTGCTCTTCGCAAAATCTACGTGATCTAAGCTTGAAAAGAAAAATTTTCTAAACTGAAGTTCTGATTGGTGGATCCAAACTTTCGATTCGATCTTGGATCTAATGATTTTGTTCCGCCAGGAAATTTCAACCATCAGTAGCGGAAGTTCTTTATATTCATCGCCACCATCTCAGAGAACATCGTTTGGTCTTTCACATTCTCTCCAGTGTTCTTACTTACCTTGATCTCTTTCTTTCAGCGACCTGTGAATCCAGACAGCGAACGCTTTGAATTGGACTGGATTCATGAAAGTCGCCGAGAATTGAATTGAATGCCAGCGCCCTCGAGAATTCCTTCTCTACACTGCCATGGCGATGGATCCCTCCTCCTGGAAGTGGAGGAGCAAGAGCATGGCTTCCCTCTCCAGACGAAGCCCAAGGTAGAGGATCATCAAAACGTAGGCCAAGATCGCGAGAGCTCCCAAGGGCCCGAGCGCCGCACGGTACAAGCTCGCAGCGCTGGAATCCATCACGGCTGTGGAGACGAAATAGCCGCCAGCAAATGCGACGCAAATGCCAATCGCCCACGCCACTAATCTCATCATCAACACACAAAGGAAGAAACAACGCATCGATGGATAGAAAAGGAATCGCGAGGACCTACAGTGGTTCCTGAGCCCTCCATCGCCGCAAGAGCCACAAAGTTCTCCGCGAGAGAATGGATGGAACAGGACATCTTATATGATTCTTATCATATAAGTCCCATCTTATATGATTCCCCTCCACTACGAGGACGTGATGGGCATCCTGGAAAGGAAGAGAAGATCGCGAGATTCACAAAACGAAATAAGGCATTGTTTTGGATCTATGGTGAGGGCTCCAGATCTGCGTTGGAGAGAGGAATTCCAAGGCAGAGAGAAAGGAAAGGAACCAAGCACCACACTCATACATACAATGCGGGTTATCTGAATTTCCTAAAATTAAATGCCCTGGGTGTTTGGTTGTTCGTGGGAGAGTGGAGCTCCGAAGATGGCTTTGGATATGATGCAAAAAAGTGACTACCATCCAAGCATTTTCTCAAAAGGCTTGTGTGATTCCAGAAGGAGGAAGTGAGCTTTCTCTGGAAGTACTTCACAAGGAGGATGACATGAGCGAGCTGCAAAGATTGTCAGCTGATGCTACAGCCGATCCACAAAAACAACTTGCAAGAGAAAATTCACCACCAAGGTCAACAATACTTTGAGCGTGAGGCTTTATTCGCAAGTCCATCACTAGCATCTTTAGCCAAGTTACAGACTTAAGATGTTCGCTTTGGGAAGGCTGGCCGATATCAGCAATAGAGCCACTCATCTCCGCATTCGTGCCAGGCCGGAGATCCCAGAGCTTTGTGTTTCCAGTTTTCATGCGAAACGATAACCAGGGTGCACCTAGTTTCAGAACCAATTGTCGGTATAAGCAATCAAGGAAACGTTTTGTAGAATTACCTCGAATTGCCTCGAATGGAAGGCTCAGTGGCAGAAGACCTGGAGGAGTTCAGCAAATAAACAGCTCATGAGATCATCAAAACAGTTTACTATAATCTGTTAGTCTCATGGTTCTTGGTGGGTGCCACAAGACCTTGTAAATAGCTAGTGAATGAATGAATGAAATGAAACCGAGAGGAGATTCAAGTTCTATACCTTTAAATAGTTCCAGCTCTGCATATAATAACCTAAAATTTGGTGAAGTAATCACAAGAATGGTTAAGGAGCTCCAGGGGTTCGTTTTATATTCGTTGAAGCTCAATCGATAATGACCAGATAAAGTTAGCACTTAACAACCTCAAAGTAAGCACAAGCACAATGCCAGAAAACTATACCTGGACATCAACTTGCACTTCAGGTACTTTCTGAAAAAGATTCTGCAAAGGATCACATGTAAACCTTGAGCTTACCATCAATTCTGACTACCATGTTTACTCCTGAAATCTATCAGTAAGAATATATAAAAGAACAAAATTCCAGATGCTTACGTCCATGTCTAAAACATCGAGATGGACAGCATAAACTTCCTGTGACATCCGTTTGAAAGCTTTAAATGACCAAGATCAACCTCGATGTACTGCCTAGGGTGGGTGCCAACAGTCCAAGTTGGTTCTAATCCACATAAGCACAATGGAATTCATCCATGTGACTGGCTTGGGCTGTTTCTTTCTCTTCATTTGTGTTTCCTCTTGCCCTGGCTGCTCCTGAGCTCATGGAACTTGCCAATTTCAGCTCTAAAGGCCTTGTTGCAGGAAGATTACTGCCCACCAGCTCACAACACTAAGGAGATATTGCACATAAATTCTTCAGTGAATCCTTCTTACTCCTAGCTTCTCAGTCATGACAGAAACAGCCTCTATCTCTCTCCCACACACAACTTTGTTCTCAAATGTGCCTAGGAACACTGTTGGTTTGCAGCTATTTGCAATGCACACCAAGATTCTCAAATCCAACTTGCCCAAGAAGGTGACAAGCTCTTTCTTGCATCAGGACTTGCTCCCAATCAATCCAACTCTGTAGAGAATTCTCTTAGGACTTCCAGAACGTTCAATATCCCCTCTCTGCAATACTAGAAAGATGGGACAAGCTTAGAATCCTCTCTAGACACTCCAGAACTTCTTTGAACACACTTAAATTGCTGTTATAAGCTTGGGAACATTGCTGGAGTGCAGTTTGCCAGTTACAAAGAGATTCCTCTCAAAGAACACTCTCCTCTTTCTAACAAAGATGCAAACTTGTTTCTAAAACCAAAGGGTCACAATTGTCTTTCCAGCTTCCTTTTTATCCTCCAAAGCTGAGATCCTTCTGATATTTATGATGCTTGCCATATCCCAGCTTAAGATATCACCATATGCCACATGGATCAAATGACACTTCAACTATTTCTAGCATTTCTCCAGTACAACTATACTGCCTTAACCACCTCTAGGATGCAAAATTCTTTTGCACCTTCATCATACCTGCATTTCTTCAACCTTTCCATCCTTGTTTTCAGCATCCTCTACTATCACAACTTCCTTCACATGTTCTAGTTCTTTTTTAGCTATCGAGACTTCCTTCTTGGTTACTGATGATGCTAGGTTCCCTTGAATTCCCCTTCTGTCACTTTCCACCTCCTCCAAAAGGCTCTAGTCTCAAGTCTTCTTAACTTCATTGCCTCTGCTGCTTACTCCTTTTGCCTCCTCTTGATGTTGATGAGCTTCCTTGATGCCTGGTCCTTGTAATGGACTCACCTCAGTCCCACTTATAATCTCCTTTAGGTTCAGTTGATTATGTCATGCTGAAGCCTTCATGTCCCTAGGTCCTTCTTCCAACAAGATTCTTCACTCTTCTCCATCCTTCAGCTCCTGGCTTACCTTGGCTGTATGCTGGGAATTCTGATCCTTAGAATATTCTCTCTCTCTCTCTCTCTCTCTCTCTCTCTCTCTCTCTCTCTCTCTCTCTCTCTCTCTCTCTCTCTCTCTCTCTATGTAGCACTTTAGAACAAAAGAAAAAGATCACCATTTCACATAAAAGAGTGAAGGGTTAACAAGTGGTAACTGAATTCCTAGCCAGCTTTTGGTTCGTAGGTTGATTCTCTTGTCTTTCAATATTTTTTTGCAAGAAAATTAGAGTGTTTTTTGAGATTTATTTCTAGAGAAGCCAAGAGTATGCCTAAATGTTTTATTTGCATCAAGTTTCATCAAATTCCAACATTTAGAAGTGATACAAGGTAAATTTTACTCAAACTCATGACTTGGTGCATATGAGGGTATTTTAGGGAGATTTTCTTTTCTTATGTCACAAGTTTATGTTCTAAGTTTCATGTCTTAATTTATAAGTGTTGTATTGGAGTATCTCTCATGTTCTCAACCCATTTCTTTGTGTTGAGTGGAGAAGATTTAAAAATTACTACATATCCTTACTTTGAGTGAGTATAGAGTTTTTCAGAGAGTGTTTTGTTTTACCTATTCTGGTAATTTCTTTCTGTTTAAGCTTATTCCACAGTCTAGCATTTGCAGTAATTTAGTTTTGACTTGGCCTTTTTCACAAAGACTAGTCCTTAGTGACTTGGGAAGTTTTTTTAACTTCACCGTGAACTAGAATATTATATAGCACTTTTGGTGAGCAAGTCTTCTAGCTCAAATGCAGATGCCAAGACAAGAGATTTGAGTAGAGTGACTCATTTCAATTTAGCTAGAGGTGATCCATTTCCCTTATAATCAGGAGGAGTGCATTAAGTTTCTATTATATCACTTGTACTAACTCAACAACAAAAAATCAACAGCCACCCCTACCTCCTACACTTCCAGCACCAACAATCCATATTTTGGAATGGAGCTCCTTTTTTTTGGGCCAGGCTTAGGGATATTAATGGATGATTATATTATAGTGTTCTCATATAATGCCATAAAGTGTAAAGTCTTCTCATAGTATATGTAGCCAAGTATGATATTGGGTGCTTATGTTAGAGTTAAAGGAGAAATAGAACTTTAGGGCACTATATAAGTTATAAATTTTCCTTTGCCAATTTGTTAGTTTAGCTTGATTAATTTTTAACTTGCCAAGATCCACTTCTATTGTATTAACTTCTACTTAATTTTACTTTGTTTCAACTATTCACTACATGAGCAATGAAGTATTAGCCATTTCTTCATAAATTCCTAAACTCTTTTCCTTAATTCTTCACATGAGAACCTAATGCACCTGGCGGGATCTCGAATCATAAAGCTCCAGCAGAAGAGGTTTTATAACTGGCCTTCTAGCTCAGTTGGTCAGAGCGTCGTGCTAATAACGCGAAGGTCACAGGTTCGAGACCTGTGTGGGCCACTAATCATTTTTTTCTTTATGCCTTAATGTCTTAGGGCTTTGTTTTTCTTTTTAAATGCGAGGGTTTTTCTAGGGTTCTTGCGAGATGAGGGTCGGATTCCAGATCGCCAGGGCGGTCGCAAGAGCGCTCCATGGATCCGGCAATGCGGTATCTTCCAGCCGCATTTTCAGGCCTTCGAGCAGCAGCATCATCGTCAGGGGCCTGGCCGACGATTTCAGCAGCCTCTTCGATCAGAATGCGATGAAGACCAAGGCTCCAGGCAAGGCGAGGGAAGATGGAGAGGCCACAAAGGCGGGCAAGGAGAAGGAGGACAAGGAGGAGGTGAGTGAATTGGATCTACTGGATTTGCAATTCGCGAAAATCGAGACTACAACAAGAACAACAACGGTGAGTGATAGCAAGCCGGAGTCCCTGGAGCCAATCGTCCAGGAGATCCCGCTCCTACCGCCCTTTGGATCTGAGGAGGAGCTCATCGAGTACGCGACTGCGGTCGTGAAAGAAACGCCGTGGCGGCAGCTCTACACCAAGCTCGCAGTTCTGGGTGATCAAGTCAAGGCTCACCACGTCCCAGAGATCATCAAACGAGCCAAGGATTCGCCGGTGGTGTTTAGTTTCTTCATGTGGGTGAGAGCCAGGCGACACATCCGTCTGGATTCCTCCATGTTTACGCTGCTCTTCGAGGTTCTAAGCTCGACCGACAAGCCGGAGGAGATGGAGTGGCTCCTCGACCAGATGCCAAAGTGGGGGATTCCCGTGGAGGACTCCATGGTTGTGACGGTGATGCTGGCTTACGGGAGGCTGGACAGGGCCGGTGACGCTCTCAAGCTCTTCTTGAAGATGGAGGAGCTCGGGGTGAAGTATCCCAAGACCTCGACTTTCAACTGTATCTTGCGATTACTCCTCAACGCGGGCCGGAACTTACAGTTCGATATGGTACACAAGAGGATGACGATGATGAGGAAGATGAACGCTCTCACGTACGAGATTCTCATCGCTAAGGTTTGCCGGTTTGGCGCCGCCGAGAGCGCGTATGAAGTTTTCCAGGAGATGAAAGATGTGGAGCACCAGCCGAGCGTGGCTGCTTACGCGAGCTTGGTGGAGAGCTTGAGCAAGGCGGGTAGAGAGGACATAGCTATCCAGGTGCTGGAAGAGATGGAAACTCCTTCAGCCGAGGTTTACAACCCGCTGGTGAGGAACTTGGTCCTGGCAGGGAAGCTAGGCGTGGCACTGACACAGTACAAGAAGATGCTGGAGGCTAAACTCAAGCCGGTTTCCTCGACTTGCATTCCCATACTCACGGAGCTCGTGATCACCGAGAGAAGCGAGCAGGCTTGCTCGCTCTTCCGGGAGATGATCAAGTCCGGCTATGCTTCTCCCGCGGACTGTCTGCCGGTGGTGGAGAGCAGCTACAAGAAGTGCAAGATCGAGATGGTGTGGAGCTTCATCAAGGAGCTTCCCAAGCTTCCGGACTGCGATTTCGACGAGAAGATCATATACTCTCTCGTCAAGGGACTTATGGACAGGGAGAGGCTTGATCTGGCGAGGAAGCTGTTTCAGTCGGTGCTGAGCACGGGGAAGAAGTTGCCGGCGGATACTTACAACCTTTTCATCCTCAAGCTGCGCACCACCGACGGCAGCAAGCAGATCTTCGACCTCATGAAGCAGAACGGATGTGTTCCGGATACTCGCAGCTACAACGGCATGATCGAGGCGCTGGTGCGAGCGGGATCGATCGGCGAGGCGTATCAGCTCTTTGTGGAGATGATGGACAAAGGCTACCAGGCTGATGCGATCACTTACAAGCTGCTCATGCAGATCCTCAGCAGGGACGAGAAGATGAACGCGAGCACCGTCACGGAAGCCATGACGAAGCTCAAGGAGAAGGGGAAGTTTGAGGCAGCAGGGACGTACCTCGACAAGCTTTCGCAGCAAAAGCTTTTACCGTTTGGGAAAGGCAAGGGGATCGAAGGGAAGGTTCTGGTGAAAGTCTTGCAAAAGGATGGACGGAGGCTGGAAGATATCTACATGTGAGACGCAAAAACTTGGGACAAGATGTGAGTGGAACTTTATATATGCTTATCCTTTCACTTCGCTCGATTTGATTGTTTTGTTTTGTTTTGTGCAGTGGCTTTGAGAGAACTTTGCACTGCTGTGAGTGATCCGAAGCATTGATCTGTGGAGAGCGAAGTTTGTGCGTGGAATATCTCCCACACGACGACAATAATGCAGGTATGGGATAATATTCTCTCGAAAGTGCGGCTGCCTCCACTGTCGCTGGCGGCTGAGCAAAGCAGCCACGCTATCTATAAAGTCGTGGAGCCAGGTGAAAACTCACCACTCTCATTTTCCGAGCTCTCCTCGTCCCTCGCTAGTGCTGTTTGATTCCTTCCAGCTTGACATCTTTAGTTCTCTCTCTTGCAGACCCTTTCGATCGTCTCAAGCCTCGAGACAAGTCCACTTTTGAGCTCCAGTGCTCGTCTGGCGAAGGTGTGAAAAATCAAGTTTTGGCCAATCTGGTTCATCCGAGATGGGATTTCTGGCACGGCTGTGGGACGATGTTGTTGCTCATGATCCTGGGATGAATCTGCGGGATCCAAAGCTGGAAGCATCATTGCAAGGAGCTCCTTTCGCCCAACGAGACAAGGACAAGACAGGGAATATCAGTGATCGAGAAGGAAGAACCAGAGATGATCCAAGCGTTACAAGACAACTATCTCCCAGTGTCTCGGATTGGCTCGTCCTCAGCATTCTAGACAGATGAAAGAAAAAAACTTCATTGTCTTGTCAAAGTTTGCTCTTCGCAAAGAAGGATCCAAATCTATTCCTTCGTCTTGTGAAAGTTTGCTCTTCGCAAAAATCTATGTGATCTAAGCTTGAAACGAAAAATTTCCAAATACTCGAGTTCTTTGACTGAAGTTCTGATTGGTGGATCCAAACTTTCGCTTAGATCTTGGATCTAACGATTTTGTTGCTATGCAGTGTCACAAAATCTCAGAAAAGTTTGAAACATCCAGTAGCAGAAGTTCATTATATTCATCACCATCAGAACATCGTTTGGATCTTTCACATTCTCTCCAGTGTTTTTGCTTCAGCGAGCTGCTCCGATTGGATCCACCAAAGTCACCGAGAACTGAATCGTCCAGCGCCCCCGAAGTTCCTTCTCTACACGACCATGGCGATGGAGGAGCAAGCATGGCTTCTCTCTCGACGAAGCCCAAGGTAGAGGATCATCAAAACGTAGGCCAAGATCGCGAGAGCTCCCAAGGGCCCGAGGGCCGCACGGTACAAGCTCGCAGCGCTGGAATCCATCACGGCAGTGGAGCCAGCAATCGCGACGAAAATGATGAGTCTTATCTTCTACACAAGGAAGACGAAACAAACAATGCATCGATGAATAGAAAAGGAATCGAGAGAATCTACAGTGGTTCCTGAGCTCTCCATCAAGAGCCACAAATTTCTCCGCGAGAGAATGATGTGATTCCTCTGATAAGGAAGAGAAGATCGCGACTCACATAAAAAGCATTGCTTTGAATCTATGGTGAGGGCTCCAGATCTGCGTTGGAGGGGTGGCTGCCAAGGCAGAAAGAAAGGAGCCATCGCCAGTCTTGTCGCACCACACTCATACAATGCGGATCGGATCGCTTATCGCGCATTGCAATCAGTACGATGGTGCGCCGCCAAGAACCCTAAACTATCAAGCCCATGGAAGAACCCTAATATATGAGATTAAAGGTTTTAGGTCATGTTCTTCAAGGAGAGGATGGCATCTACTCGAGAGAACACGCTCGAGCTGCAGAGTCTCAGAGATTCTCGACGAGTTTTCGATGCGATTAAAATCCATGAGTCTGGTTTTCCTAGCGGCTCTTGGTCCACACGCATCACACAATTGATCACGACTGGATGATGGATTTGTATGCCAAGTGTGGACGTCTAGACAACTCGATTCAATGGAGCAGCACATCATTTCCTGGACTGCGATCATCACAGCCACCAAGCCCGATCATCGAGCTTCTTTCAGCGTTCTGGGAAGAAACAAGGCGATCTATACATAAAATTGAGAAAGCAATGAAATACACTCATTTGGTCTTGTTGACTTGCTTTGCTCGCTAGCAGTTTAGTTGAAAAGCTCGCCGAGTTGAATTATTTCTACCTTGAATTTTAAGTTCGAAATGATTCTTGACTATGCAAGGGCTTATAGGGAAATGTTTTGTGCGTGTCAATGTCTTACAAAAGGTTGGCAAAGGAGCTGGTTTTTCTTCATTAGACTTGGTATTAATGTTTTTCTTGTAAACTCTTGGCTAAATTATTATCTTAACAAAAATTGGTATTATTTTAGGTATGTGCTACGAAGCTCTGGAGATGGCACTAATGGAAATATGATTGATGGTCAGATAAAACAAGAAAATTAACCTTTTCAGTTAGTAGTCAAGCAATTCTTAATTTCAACAAGTATTTTTATTTACAAATGAGTAATGTATGTTGCAACTTGTCCAGCCAGAGCATATACTGTAAAAGCTATGTTGTAATTTATCATATTTTCTGCTTTTTGAGCTTAATAATAAATCAATATGCCAAGGTTTATTATAATATATTCCTATAGTTAATAATCCATTATCTAAAGAAACAAATCCCCCATGAAAGTAAAGATTACATTCGTAGTAATTCAATATTTGTCACAAAATTGTATTCTTAACAATACTATTTATATATTATATTGCAAGGCTGGAATTTAGTGTTAAAAATGATAACAAAATTATTCATAGTAACAGTTTGTTTAATGGTTAATAAAGTATCTGGAATGAGCTCTGAATTCATGAAAGGTTGTATTACAGGATATACAAGTCAGTATTTCACACGACAAGCGGTTTGTGATTTTAAATATCAGATTTTAGAATTTTTCCGTCAAAAGAATATTGGCATTAGATGATTTATTTTCAACCACAACATAGTTGTGGCTTTTACTATTGAATCGTATTACCCAAATATTTTGGATGACATAATTGAGGCTTATAATATTATATGGAAATTGCTTCGTTGAGAAGAATAATGCGGCCTAAAGTGTGCTGTAGTGCTCCATCCTTGGAGTGATACTATTGCTGCCAAGCCAATGGATTTCACCTTTTCAAATATTAGAGCTCTTCCATTCAAACTTTTGCCGTTCACAAATTCCTGAATCATTGACTGTTGACCGTTTACTTTTATTTTGTCATCTCTTCTGTTCCTTGTAAATGTCTGATATCAACACGAAGGCCGAAGGACTGGTCTCTACATTTTTCATGGCTTGGAAAGCAATGGTTCCAGTCGATGCATTCTTCCACTTCCATGACGAGCTAAGAATGCTCGTCCACAGTGGATCGTTCGCCTTGCAAGGAATGCTCTTCGCCATAGCCACTGCCTCGTCCAGTCGATCAGCTCTTCCTAGCAAATCCACCAAACAAGTGAAGTGCTTCACGTCTGGAGCAACCCCGTGCTCCAAAACCATGGACTGGAAGTAATCCTTGGCTCGATCAACCAGGCCAGCGTGGCTACACAGCACTAACATCGCCAGGAACGTCACTCCATTCGGCCGGATTGGAGTTTCACCGCTGCAAAGCCTATCGAACGCTTCAAACGCCTGCTTGCTATCACCCTGCCGGCTATACCCATCGATGAGAGCGTTCCAGGAAACGATGTCTCTTCTGTTGCCTCCGATCCACTCGAAAACTCTGCGAGCGTCCGCCATGCTTCCACACTTCCCGTAGAAATCCACCAAGCTGTTGCATACCATCGTATCCTTCTCGCAGATGGCGGCACTGGAAATCTCTGCCTCCACTTTCCTGCCGACCTCTAGAGCTCCCAAGCTTCCGCAAGCCTTGAGCACCGCGACGTAAGTTATAGCATCCGGAGTGAAGCCTTCCCGTTTCATTCGAGAGTAGAGCTCGAGAGCTGCGTCGGCCTGGCCATTCTCCGTGCTTCCCAGAATGAGAGAGTTCCACGACACTGTGTTTCGCTGCACCATCTTCTCAAAGACACCGCGAGCCTCGGCCAAGCTTCCACACCTCGCGTACATGTCGACTAAAGCGCTCGCTACGAAGATCTGCTGTTCGTTTCTGGTTGTGGCAGCATCGAAGTGAATGCCCCGGCCTTTCTCCAAGCACTGTGCCCTGTTGTTCTCGTCCCCCTCTGCCACGCTCACGCAGGCCTTGAGTGCTGCGAGTATAGTGACGTGATTCACCGGACAGCCTTCTTCTTTCATTCTTGTGTAGAGATCCAAAGCCAGCTTTCCTTCACCGGTCTCAGCATAGCCCAGAATCATCTCACTCCACGAGAGCTGGTCCTTGTGATGGATGGCTGAGAAAACTCTGCTAGCGTCTTCCATGCTCCCACACTGAGCATAAGCATGCACGAGACAGTTTCCGACGAAAGTGTGTAGATCATGGCTCGTTGATTGAGTAGCTAGAGTGTGTATGGCTTTGCTTCTTGACAAGCTCGCCACCTTCACCACTTTCCCGTTGACAAGAGTGCCTGCTTCGCTCTGCGCCAAGCACACACAAGCCTTGAGTGCTGCGAGAAAGGTTACGTGGTTTGGAGCACAGGTACCTTCTTCTCGCATCCTAGCAAACAGCTCCAGAGCTTTCTCGCCTTCGCCACCCTCTGCATAGCCGAGAATAATAGAGTTCCAGGTGACCAGATCGAGACTGCTCATACCTTCAAACACCCCGCGAGCGAGAAGCAAGCAGCCGCATTTGGAGTACAAATCCACGAGCGCGTTTGCAACGAAGACGTGCATTTCTTGAGCGTGTCTAGCCGCTTGAGCGTGAAGGATTCTTCCTCTTCGCAGCGCCTCCATCTTCACAGACCTGTCCGAGGCGATTTCCTTCTCTGCCAGACCAACACAAGCTTTGAGCGCAGCGACAAAGGTGATCGAGTCTGGAGCAATACCTTCGTGTTGCATTCGCGAGTGGAACTCGAGAGCTAGCTCCTCATCCCTGGCGTCCGCAAATCCCAGTATCATCTCGGTCCACGAGACGACACTAAGTTCCTCCATTCTCTCGAAAACAATGCTCGCGTCCACCATGCTCCTGCACGTCGCATACATATCAATCAAAGCATTCGCAACGTAAATGTGTACCTCTCTATCGAGCCTGGCAACCCAAGCGTGGATCTCCCTTCCTCTCCTCAAGAACTCGCATGGAACTGGGAAGTTTCTCTCAAGAGCTAGCTTGCCTCGATGATTCTTCTTCGCGAGGCTGGTGCACGCCTTGAGCGCTGCCAGGAACGTTACGTGATTTGGGACAGCGGTGCCATGGCCTTGTTCGCCGGAGAAGAGGCGTCCATAGACTTCTAGAGCCAATTCATCCTCGCCCCGGTCCACGCATCCCAGAATGATACAATTCCACGCCACTACGTTCTTGCTGCGATCCATCCCCTCGAAAACCTGGAATGCCTCGCCCAGGCTGCCGCATCGAGCATACATGTGAACCAGCGTCGTGGCCACGAAGAGATTGGAAGCCGCGGCGCCCTGGATCGCATCCCTGTGAATCATCCTGCCATTGTGGAGATCTTTGGCGCTGCCGCAGCATTTGAGCGCCGCGACAATGGCAGCCACGCCCGGCCGGGCTCCCGATCGCTGGGTGTCAAGGTAAATCCTCAGCGCTACCCTGTCCTCGCTACGATTCCGTGCCGGGGTAGGGAGCGGGCGCACTGATTCTCCAGCCCCGCGCATCGAGCGCTTGTTACCTGGATTTTTCCTAGGGTTTATCTAAGATCTTATCAAACTTCCATTTCACAAGCTGAGAGTCTTGCAAGCTTTGATCGCAGAAGCAAAGTTTCTTCTCCATCTTTGCTCTCGTGAGCATAGCCTGTGATGATCCCTGTCCAGGAAACGATGTCGTGCTGCTCCAGCGAATCCAGAACCGCATCGAAAACTCGTCGAGAATCTCTCGCAGCATCCAAGTTGCCAGACGAGAGTACTGCGTTGTCCAAGGCCTTTGCAGCTCGAGCGTGGATCGCCATGGTTCTCTCGAGTAGCTTCATGTCACTCTCTCCTTACGAAGAACTTCCCATTCACTGAAAGAAAGCTAAAGAACTAGGATTCTTTCCCTTAGCCTTGACCGAGAAGATCCAGGAAAAGTTGGGTCGTTTGGATGGCAGCCACGTCTTTGCGTCGGTGAGAACATCCATCCTAATCTCCCTGCGCGCATACCTTGGCCGCTAGCAGTGATCGCGCATTTAAATTTGAAGATTCGAAATGAAGCACGCTAAAGTTTAACAATTCTAAGTACGATAGTAAAAGTTAAGAAACACTCATTTCATGTTAACTTCATCGTACTTTGGTTTCACACCTTCTAGCATTGTTGGCTCTTTCATCCACGTGTAGAGATCGCGAAGAGGGGTCTACTTTGCATACATTGTTTATTTTCTTCCAGTGCCTCACAATTCTGTTGAAGAATTGTGCCATAATTTCTAAACATCGGTAAAGAATAGTGATACGAATGTTGTGGCAGTACACTCTTCTCATGAGACCAAGAAAATCCATCAAAACTACTGGCTATATCAAGGACAATGTGTTACTGATGATTTACATTGTACATATATACTTTTGTAGTTTTTAATTGGCAGTGAAGCCATTTTTAATTACAGCAACTGCTTTCATAGACTTCAGAGAAATGTGTATTGCAACTTACCCATCTGGGACTTACACTATAAAAGCTATGTGGTAATTTATCCTGTTGTTTGCTTTCATGGCTTAATAAAAAATGTTGTTGATCATATATTTTGATCGACAACAATCTGTTATCTATTAAAAGCCTCAAACTCCTTGGGTAATATGATTTAACTAACATTCACATGTATATTCCACCTAAAATTAAATGTTCTGCTAATATTTTGCTTGATAAAATCTAAAATCTTCCTAATAATATTTAATGGTTTATAAATATCTGGAATAAATGTGAACATTTACAATAAGGGGTTGATTTTAAATATTAGATTTAAGATTTGGCATTAGAGCCATAACATAGATGTGGCTTTTGCTCCTAAATCATATTACCCAAAGATACAGTTGAGGCTTATAATTTTATATAGAATGAATGCAATATTTATTTTCAAGAAGGATTTGTTTATTTGGATAATGGATTGTTAACTATAGGAATGTATTATAAACTGATTTATTTTTAAGCTCCAAAAACAGAAATATAACTTTTAAAGTAGATGTTCTGGTTGGACAAGTTGAATATACATTTTTCATTTGTGAATAAAAATACTTCTTGAAATAAAAAAACTACGAATTCTTAGCAACTCATCTGTGGCAACTGGTTCGATAAGGACAGAATATGCCATCCTAGTGAAAGTGACATCAATTATATTAATGGACTAGGCAGAGTGAAATATGGAGTGAATCTCACAAATTATGACTTTGCTACCCGTTTCATATCAGCTCCAAACCCACTTTATCACTGTATGGGCCCTTTATGTGCTAGGGGGGAGGTTGGGATTGGTCCCTGCCAAATTTTTTACCACAAATATCTACATATAAAGATGAATTATTTTAATAAACTAAACACATATTTATTTGAACTAAATAATTGGTATATAGTGTCTGTATAACCTGTAGTGTAATTATGATTGAATTGAATTAGTGTAACTTTGGTATATAATAAACTGCATAACACTTTAACATGAACAATTTAAAAAACTCTATTACAATTGAAAATTATAGTAAGAATAAGAAGAGAGATTAAGTATAGTTTATTAATATAATTTTGCCATATTTTTCTGTTAAATTTTAAAACTATTTTCTGTTTTCTATTTTGGCTGCTGATTACAATACAAGACACGTTATCTATATTAAACCAAATTGTGTTTTAATTTTATGATAATGCTTAAGAGAATCATATGTCAACTATATTAAAAAAACTATTATGTGTTAGTTTTATATAAGATCTAATAAGCCACAGCCTTTATCTTTCCAGTTTCATAAATATTCTTAAGAGAATTAGATATCATCCATATTAAAAAATATTATGTTCCAGTTTATCTACATTAAAACATATATTCCATTTTTTTACTATATATAATGCATCATATTATTTATATTAAAAACTATATTGTGTTCTAATTTCAGAATAATTCTTGAGAAAATCATATGTTATCTACATTTAAAAACCACATTAAGTTTTAATTTCAGAATATCTATATTAAGAACAAATTTTTGTTTAGTTGCATAATAGGCTTGACAGAATCAAATGTTATAGATATTAAAAACTACATGAAAATTAGACTATATCAATAAATTGCTATGCATTGCATGTAGCAATGTTTGGTTTGCTTAATTGTAGTGTTATTCTTAATCAAATTGATCAAATAAAGTTTATAATTATAAACAGACTTGTAATTTATAAACACAAGATTAATCTTATTGCATATCAACCATTAAATGATAGAATAAAAAGGAATATACTAGAAAAGGTTTAAAAATGCTTATAAATTATAAACATGTTTATAAATTATAAATACAAAATTAATGTAAATGAATAATAACCGTTAGATGGTAGAATATCGTAGAGTATCCAAGCATATTTTAGGTATATTCACTACCATCCACGTTTGCTTAAGCAAACCACAAGCCATATATAAAATGAAAATTATATTTTTGGGCACTTGAGATTTATCACAGCACTGAAAGTTACCAAATCACCTCGGACAAGGCAGCAAAGAGGAAGGATACTTCATGCTCAAACAACTAGAAACGCTCAAGAAATGCAACTCTTCATTGCAAATGCACTCAACTCCAAATGGGGCTGTTTGCTTCTCGCTTGCTGGTTACCTGGAACATTATAATTCTCAGCCATGCAGAGGGTGAAGGCGAGAAAGCTCTAGATCTTTTTGCTAGGATGCAAGAAGAAGGTATTTGTGCTCCAAACAACATAACATTTCTCACTGTACTCAAGGCTTGTATATGCTTAGCATAGAGTGAAGCAAACACTTTTATCAATAGCAAAGTGTTGAAGGTGGCAAGTTTGTCGAGAAGCAAAACCATACATACTCTAGCTACTCAATCAATGACCCATGATCTATTACATGCTTAAGTCACTAACAGTCTCGTTATACTCAATGTGGGAGCATAGAAGACACTAGTAGAGTTTTCCTGGCCATCCAATGCAATGACTAGCTCTCATGGAGGGATATAAGTCTAGGTTATTCCAAGACTAGTGAAGGAAAGTTGGCTTTGAATCTCTACAAGAATTAAGGAAGAAGGCTCCACATCACAATTGTTGAAAAGAATGAGTGATAATTGATGGGTTAAGGATAATCTTTTATATATTGCACTAAATACCTAGAACAAAGAGACAAACCAAGGGTCGTGACTCATGACCCTCTAGTGACCACACCTCTTCTTCCTGCTATCCTAGATCAAACCTTGATCCAATCTTGAGCCATAATAGCTCTCCAAGCTAGTGAATACACATAGTGCCACTTGATGCCTTTGCTCCAGCATCTCTGGCTAGTGACTCCAGCCTTCTAGTGCACAGCCTTTCCTCCACACTTGTGCCTCTACTCCACAGTGAGATCCTAAAATTGGAAGTCTCCCTCTCATCCTTTAATTGCTCCACTGCTCCCTCTCAAGGTGCTTTACCTCATATTGAAGCCTTGGATTATGCCACTATGATTCACACCAATTGAAGCAAGAGCAAGGATCTTGAAAAGAAACCTTTGTCTTATGTTTGCCCTAAAATGAGCCTACACCAAATGACAGTACTCTTATGTGTAGCTCTCAATAGCTCTTTGCACCATCTCTCCATCATCTCACTATACTCACAAGGCTCTCTTCTTTGGCCAACACTTTTAGATCCTACCCAAGAATCATAATGCCCTTGGTCACCTAGCACTGCCTCATTCTCCTAGTGCCCGACACCTCCACCCAATACCTAGACACCTCACTCACCCTTCACCTGTCTCTGTTAGTAGTGTCAAACCTCAACAGAGCCTTACACTCCCCAGGCCTTGTTACTCTCTGGCATTGCCTCTAGACAATACGAACACCCAATGCAATACATGTGTTATCTCAGCTTGTCAACACCATCTAGCAATCTTTGGTGCCTCTGTTAGTATCTAGTGCTCTGCTTAGTGCCTCTAGATAGCAAATGCAACACTGTCTAGTGCCTCTATTGGCAGCATCCAAAACACAAGGCCTCTACCCTCGCACTCTACACCACACACAACATTGCTCCTTGGCATTGCCTTCTTTGGCAATGCCTCTCTATCTCAGCACTCAATGCCTTTGCCTCAAACTAGTGCAACCACAATCTTATCATCAACCTCCTTGCCCACTTCTAACTAACCTCCTCATCAAGGTGGCTCATCCTCCTTCTCACTAGCCTCATGAGAGCCATTGTCCCAAGATTTAGAGCCTTAATGCTTAAATACTATGAAAAGGATCTTTATTATATTTACATTGAATATATACAAAATAAACCTGAAAAAGCTCTCCCACGCAAGGTACACGCAAGGTTTTAAAAAGAATATTATGAGTGGTGATGTAAGATGATAAGATGGAAAACTCTCCCACGAGGTGCACGCAAGGAGGTCCCACGAGGTGCACGCAAGGATGTAAGATGATAAGGTCCCACGAGGTGCACGCAAAGTTCTCGAATTTGCTATAGAAAGCAGTGGAAAACGTTTTCTAGAACCCTACAATTGAGAAGAGCTAACAGGATAGTCAAGAAGCGGCATGAAGGTACTCAAAATGTCACTCATCATGGTTGTGATCGCATGTGCATTGATACAAGCCAATGCGAGCCAACTAAACTTGTACAAGGGAAAGTGGTGTACAGGATCTTTTACTGTTGTATGGGATCGCCAATGCGCTGAGGTACCCGGAGATGCTGTTTCGTACAGGTTTTACTACAATCCGGAATGGAAGGCCACATTTTTCTCAGATGCAGGTTGTGAAGGCAAAAGTGAAGAGGTTCTTGCCTCAAGCAAAATGTGTGTTCAGGGTCTCGAAGGCATTGGCAGCGTCTTGATATCGGATGAGTCATTTTCAACATCTTGATATCTCGGATGATCTCTTGCCAGTTTCACTGACTCCTGGCATAAATATATAGCTTGCAATGTCATGAATAATATCATTTGGTGATGAGTTGTGACAGCAAGGATAAGGATAAGATGATTTTGCCTCTGTTGCGGAGGAACTCCATAATGCGTCTTCATCATCAGGAATCTGCTCAATGAGACAAGCGCTTAGTAAGTTTCTGTTAAAAAGAAGCACGCCCCTGTGAGAAATCTACAGCGGGAAAGTTTTGTTTGCATGTTGTGATGGAGCGACCTCCTTTTGTCACAACGATAGTTCGTCTATAGGACAACAGAATACTCTTGAAAAGTTCGAGAAATCTCCCGCTTCAAACTCATGCTATCATCTGCATTTCAATCAATGGAAAAAGTGGAGCTGAGCCAGGAACTTAGACGACTATGTAAATAAGATGAATGAATGTGTACATGTAAAGGTACCTTAAAACCAAAGAATATGACGTATTGACGTACTGTGCGTAACAGTGGCCCCTTTGGAGGGACGAGCTTCCACTTCCCAGACCCCAAGAAGCGAGCCAAAAACATCACCGAGTATGTGACGCACACAAGCAAAAAGAAGGTCCCAAAACGAGAAATGTTCGCGTCAAAAACCCCCTGTAAGAAACAAGACTGGTGGTCAGCATCTGGAGATGGAGAAATGGCAGACGTACCACAAACGCTTGAATGGAACGGGGTTTGACATTTCCTCGAGTGCAATTTGCCGAGTGTACGGATTTCTGTCAAAGCAGAACATTATAATCCGTACAGAATATTCTTTTATAGGAAGAATATTTTGGTGTGTCAAGTTTAAGGATTTTGGGGGGCAGTTTCACATATCAATAGTCCATTGGGCTTTCTTGGCAAAATTTACTCCAGTAGAGTCCTCCCCTTATTATACTTTTGGAGCTCCCTAAACCTCCTAGGGTCTGGGAAACAATTGTTTTGGGCTTTCACCCTCAGACTTAAACTCAAACTCAATCTCAGTGTCAAACTCGGTCTTGGTCTTAGTCTTGTTCTCAGCCTCTGCCTTAGTCTTGGCCTTGACCTCGTACTCAACCTTGGACCCGGTCTCGGTCTCCATCTCGAACTCGACCTCAGACTCCATCTCAGGTTTATCTCAAACTCCATCTTAAGTTCATCTCGCAGGTCCATCTCAGACTCCATCTTGAACTCTATCTAGGGTCCATCTTGAATCCATCTCAAACTCCATATTATGTGAATGAAATTCCTCAAGTGGTCAAAAGTGTGGTTAAGTGACTAAAATAGAATGGAAAAATTTAGTCACTTACATAAATCTCTATTGCAAGAGGTTGAATATCAATACTGATCAACATTTTACATGTTACATAATGCTTTCTTCTCTTGCCCAAGTAATTAGCCACCTCCTATTGGCTAAGAGCAAACATTAGCATCATTATTCATAGTTATTTGAGGCTAAATAAAGAATCTTGTCAGCTAGAATGTTTCTATTGCAGCAATTGCTGGGGCTGGGGATCTGGAGGAGGCATGGTGATTTTTTGATGGGATGCCTTTTTACAGTCTCGTGTTATGAACAATGATGATCACTGAGTATGCAGATCGCAAAAAATGAAAAATTTATTTCTTGCACTGGTGCACAAAGACATCATTTGCTGGAATGTAATACTTTTGTGTTATGTCCAAAATTGGCATCTAGAGGAAGTCATTGCCCTCTTCAATAAGATGCCAAAGCAAGATGTTTTGTCGTATACAATGATGATATCAGTTTTTTCATTAGGAAATGATTTAGAAAATGTAAAGGATTTGTTTGATTCTATGCCATTATGAGCTGTAGGCGCTTGGAACTCTATGATTATGGCAAATGCTGTGAATGAGCAAATTGAAAAGGTGGCCATTGTTTTCTTTGAGATGCCCGAGTGGGACTACTGCTCGTGGAACAGCCTCCTAGGTGTGATCGCAGAGTCTGGGAGGATTAACAATGCAATTGTGATGTTTCAAAGAATCCCTTTCAGAGACAGTTTCATGGAACCTAATGATCACGGCAATGGGTTCTTGTGGCCATATCTGTGAGTCACAAGCTCTCTTCGCCGTGATGCTGCAGAGAAATGCTGTCTATTGGAGCATAATGATCAGAGCTTACACACAGCAGGGACTGGCCATGGACACAAAGATCATTTTTGATTCCATCGAGTCTCATGACACGGTCGAGTGGAACTCACTCCTAGTGGCCTACCCTGCGAGTGCAAGCGATCGAGTGGGCAATTCTAGGAAAGTGTTTGATTCCATGCCTGATCGAGACACGGTGTTGTGGACGTCGATGATCTCCACCCATGCCACATGGTTTCTGCTGCACACTCTTTGATTCCATGCTGCAGTGTGTCATGGCAGCATGGAATGCAATCATCTCTGGCTATGCAAGGAGCAGCATCTCAATGAGGCGCAGCTCCTCTTTGGTCGGATGCCCTATCGCAATGCCGTGAAGATCAATGCCATGGTTGTAGCACTCACATTTGGTGGCAGGATTGAGCAGGCCAAGCTCCTCTTTGATTGATTTGCATTGCCCAACTCTGCAATCTCCATGCTCGAGGATTGGGCGAGGCGTACACCCAGTCCAGGAGCATCAAGCTAGGGCACTGTTTTGATCACTTGAGCCTGGAGAATTGGGACTCTAGTGTGATCAGAGTGATCATCGATGCATATGCCTGGATCGTCGGATCTTCTCCCATCCCGATGCCACGAGTTACAATGCCATGATCACAGCATTGGCCTCAAATGGGCATTTGCACAAGGCAAAGATCCTCCTCTCTAGGGTGAGAGAGAGCAACGTAGTGTCTTGGAACCCATCCTCACGAGTTACATCCAATTTGGCCATCTTGGCCATCCTGATCGCAATCTTCCATGCCATGCCAGATCCAACTCTAGTCTCCTAGACAGCGGTGATCACTAGCATTGCCTGATCAGGGTCCAGCAAGAGGGCTGGAACTCCCGCGAGATGTGCTATAGAACACATGTACATAACATGCATTGTAGCACCTTCTTCTCTTGCCCCACACAGTTGGCTGCCTCCATTGGCTGGGAGCAAACATTACCATGATTATTCACTAAGACATGATTAAAGAAACAACCATTTTACAGTTACCCCCCCCCATTGGACGGCTGCCATTGGCTGGATGGGCATTTCCTCCTTATTATTATAGACTAGTATTTGCCTAGCAAAAGCTACATGGTTAGAAAAGGTAAATTTAGTGTTAAAACTGATGCCAATACACCATATTAATCATTGTGTTATGCATTTGTTCTTCTTTTCCTGTTGGATAACAAAGGAAAAGCTCTTGGTGAGAATTTTTTTTCTTCCACAAAAAGGAAGCATGATACTTATTCCCAATTGGAATGAATTATCTCAAACACCCAAGCAATGCCAATGCCTTCTTTGTTAAACAAACACAATCCAACAAAAAGGGAAGAAATCAAACTATGATTACTCTTTCTTGGAGTGGATAGGATGGATGCTCTCTAGATGTAAGGACTTCTAGCACCACCACTAGCTCTATTGGGATCTCCTCCTCCTCTACCAACCTATGGTGAGACATAGCTTCCCACCACTCCAAGCTTGTCAAATCCCTTCCCTTCAATTTAGGGCACTGGGACATGACTGCTTGCTGATTACCCAGATGAGCACTAAAGTTTGCCAGTGTGCCCATCACTATGGCCTCCCACTGTGTGGATTCCTTCACTTTCTCACCACCACTAGGATAGACTTGTGGATACAACACATACAAATTGCTATTGCCGTGCGATTGAGCTTGATCATAGCTGGGAGGCTGCTGCTGCTATTGCTGCTATTGAGTCGCCATAGCTTCTTTCTTCCTTTCACATTTCTTCTTGCCTAAAAAGCACCACTTCAAATGAAATTGTGCCAAAGGGCAAAACTGCCCAAGTTCGTCTCTCCTCCTTAAGTTTCCTCTTTGCATGAGAGGAAAGAAGTGTTGCAGCAGGGACTAGGTGAATTGCTGTGCTAGGACTTGAGCATCATGTTTGGGAAGTGGCCATCTAATCTAGCTGAGCTAGAGAACCCTTTCAAAGAACTTGACACAAAAGATCATCCATAAAAGATTTCTTGGTACCAGTGGAGCTTGTTGTCAGCACTTTGGAATCACTACGTTTGATTGCAACCTCTTCAAATCCAAATCATAGGATAGATGGTTTAGTACCAAATCAACCTTCTTTTTTCTAGCTTGAAGCAGTGGCAGCAAGCATCATCCCGATCACTTGTCCATCATGGTGCTTGCTCCATCCAGCATCAGCTCATGCCCACTCATGAACCGTGAGTCCTCGCTAGCCAAGAACACAGCCACATTGGCAACATCCTCCACGCTCAGCGGGCTCTCTAAATTGTCTCCATACTTGAGTGTCATCGCCCTAGATGCCACAGCCCTGGTGATCAACACTTTGCATGTGACACCAACCAGCACAAAATGCCCTTGCATTTGTCGCCAAAATAGATAAAAAGAAAAAGAGAGAAAGATACTTGGTCACCACATCTAAAACTCTTTTGAACTCACACACTGTCACAAAATCCAGCATCTGCCTAAAGATCTTAAACATCTCCACCCTAAAGATCCTGTCGCCATGGCCGATGAACACCACATTCCAGTCAAGCAGCACATCTGGATGCTGGGACACCTCGCTCCACCGCCAAGAGGATGATCAATCCTGCTCCAGTCACCAGATCTTCCTCGTGGCCTTGGTCTACTACTACTGCTCGAGTGATCTCGATGCCCAGACAACAGGCACAGTCACAGTTGCAACATGTGTCACTGCACCTTCTTCTCCTACCCCATGCAGCTTGGCCGCCTCCTATTAGCCAGGAGCAAACATTAGCGCAATTATTCATTAGGACATGGTTAAAGAAATAACCTTTTTATAGTTACCCCCCCCCCCCATTGGACGACTGAGATTGGCTGGATCCAGTGGCCCAAAAAGTTCGGTAACTCTTTATTATGATAGATGACTTAAGAATATAATACCACATCAGACTAAATATAAATTATATATTAACATAACTCTTCCGGATTTTCTTTCAGTTGTGGCTTTGCTTAAGCCTGCT